GTAGCTTTTTGTGTGCTGGTTTCATGCACTTCTTCTTTTTGTATGAAAAAATTATTGGGCTCAATTGGACCACAGAATCAAATGACGAAATGATTTTTTAGTGGGCATATTTTTTATGGGCTCCCACTGGTACGGTTCACCGAATCATATCGTGTAAGAATTCGTTGCCCTCATCATGCACCAAGAATGTGGGAAGTTATAATGATTTCTTTATGATATTTTATATATTTTATAATATTTACTGGTGTAGTGGGAGTTGTTTTTTAATTAATATTTTTTAAAAAGAATTTGTTTAAAATTTTGTCTCAAAATTATTTTAAAAATTAATTTTTAAATTAAATATTTAATTAATGTAGATTATATATATTAATTGTTAAATTAATCTAACATTTAATACTCTTTAACTAAAAAATCTTATTCACTGCCATATATTTATTTATGTTAAATTTTGTGTAATCAATTAACTAATTAGATCTATTAAATTAATTTAAAAATTGACATATATGATTTACACATATATAAGACTTTCAATTCTTAATAGTTTGTTTTTAAAAATATTGATTAAAACATGATGTTTTTGGAATGTATTTTAAGAGAATATTTTACAAAACACTTTTCTCATATAAATTGACATAATATTAATTAAGTAATTAACTAAAAATTAATCAATAATATGTCTGAATTTAATATCCATCTATCAATATATTGCATTGTATAAAATAAGATAGCTATATAGATGTAACTTTTTTATATTATTAAATAAAAAATGTAATTAATATTATAAATCTTAAATAAATAAATAAATAATTTATTTAAATAATACGTAAAGTTATACTAAAAAATAGTATAAAAAAGTTATTTTTGATTCCTTTTTTAAATAAATATTATAAAAAAATTTGTCAAAATTATGGTGGTTAATTATTTGGATATTTAATTCCGGCCAAAATAATTGGAAATTTAAAATTCTATTATATAGAACGCAGGTTGGGCTGTGTAAGACCATAAAAGAAAAGGTAAAAAAGGTCACATCATTTTGTGTGTTCCAAACTACACATTTTTTAAAACAGCCAATGTGAAATATACTCTCGAAGAACAGTGGCCGAACCAGGAAATCAATTAAGGGTAGAACTTTATTTTTTAAAAAACAGTATTTAAAAAAAAAAAAGATTAAGGATAGAATCTTCAATATTATTTTTCTGAAAATGTTAATTGAGGTATCTCTATTTTTAAAATTCTTAAAATCTATGGTAGGTCATATGTGCAACCATTCAATAATATTATGCATCCATCACTGCTTAAAATTATTTGAAAAATATTAATTCTAAAGTGTATTTGGAATATGATAGGTCAATTCAAAATACCTTAATGGTTAAAAAAAAAAAAAAAAAAACTTCTGGGGCCAGACAGTTTTTAACGTTAATATAAAAAAAGTTGTTCTCGAACATAATTGGTTATTCCCTTCCACGTTATTTAATTGACTTTATTTAACGGCATATAATTGGTTGTCTTATACAATAATGAATAATTTAGCAATCTCGGGATCCTTAAACAAATATGAAAACAATAAACCAAACATACCTCACTTGTAAGAACATCTTGCCCAAAAAATAGTTTCCCAATGCGAATTAGTAAATTATTACAAACAAAAAATAATACTAGAAAATGCAATTTAAATCATGAAATAAGGCCAGGACTCTCATTTAATAGTTTTTTCTGTTGTTTTTTTTAACGAAATAGAGATGTTGTATTAATGGAAAAGAAATTATATATAAATTCCTATATAAATACAGCTAAAGACAAGTTAAGATTATAATTTATAGCATTAAATATAGATGAAAACTATATTTATAACGAATAAGGACAATTAAATACAAAGAGTCACCTATATTTAGATACTACCTTGGCAATCACTATAGTAACATATATAGTGCTATAAACCTAAAAAAAGAAAAAGAAAAAAAAAAAAGAAAAAAGAAAAAGCCCTGGTGCATGTTCAAAACTACTAGACTTTCCCAATTGTCATGTCAAGTAGTTGGAGTCTCCCTTAGGGACCAACCAAGTCATGCTCAAATTAACTTAGAGGAGAGTCACCACTGCATTGTTGTCATCTTCAACTTGGGGTAAAACCCAATGAAAATCACTGAGAAAGCTTAGGGAAAAACTCCATAAAAAGGGAGAAACTCTCACAAAGGAGAGATAGCTCTCAAAGAAGGAGAAACTCTTACTTTTATTCCTCCTCCTTAGCCATTGAAAGGGAGAGAGGCAATGGCTAGGGAGTAAAGAAAAGGAAGAGAAAGCGGCGGCCAATGAGAAAAGAGAGACAAGAAGGTGCTAGGGTTTTTTAGAGTATCATTTAATAGATTTGGTTTTATAACAATTTAGCATAAGTCAAATTGCGAACTAACAAACTCATTAATTAAGGTTTCGTTTGGTATGGTTGTAGTTTTTAATTTTTAATTTTGATTTTTATAAATTTTGTGACTTAAAAAAAAATCTCATTTTTTTTTATGTGTTTTTGTAACATATTATCATGATTGTTAAAAAAAATAAGAACAAAAATAGTTTTAATACTATTAAAAATATATATATATATATTGCAAGTGTTAAAACTCATCTTAAACGAATTGTTAGTTTTTTTCATTTGTAACTTTGATTTTTAGTAGTTGTAAAATTTATAAAAACTAAATTAAAAACTGACAACCATAATCATATTAAATATAGCTTAAAGATATACCCCCTATATTTTATAATAACTGTTTTTTTTTTCGACTTTTTCTTCAAATTTAAAATTTAGGGACTTCATAAAAAAAAAGAATTTAGGGATAATTTATATATCTACTTAAATTATTTATTTTTTAAATTAAAAGATAAAGTCAAAAATTTTGTGATAAAATAATTATCAAAGTTAAAAGACAACAATTATTTTAAGACATAAAGAGTGGTATAAAAGTAATATAAAAGTAAAGAGTCATTTTTTGTGGTCCATATTACAAATATGAAACCATTAAATTGTAAGAAGTGTCTACATTCAGGAGTCTATCCAATTTAAATATCAAAATAAAAATAAAAATAAAAATTAAAGGAGTTTATTCAACTTAAAACTTATTTGGTGTAGTACATGCTATACAAAATATTTCTAAAAAGTAAAAGGGCAATATTTTTAAGTTATTACCTTAACCAAATCTTTCTCCTAATTTTTCAACAGTCGCAATTAGGACAGAGGGATTCAGGGCAGATAATTGGATGGGTCATTTTCCATAAAGAACAATAAAATTCTAGGGTTAGTTTACATATACGGGGATCTGATCTGTAATTCGTTTGGAGAGGGCATAATTAATGAAGAATTAATTATGATTTGGAAAGTCATTAAGTTTCCGATTAATTATCTTTCACTTAGCAGTTTATGCCTTTATGGTATGCTTAAGTCAACAACCAAAATATTGCGAACTACATTTTCTGGTGAGACTGGCAACCATTAGTTATACCATACCTTCGTTGGAGGATGTCACGTTCAGCTAGATGTAATTATGTTTTCACCAAAATCAATTCAAAATTTGTTAGGAGAAGTAATGGCAATATATATAGTACTTATATAATTGATTGGTTATGTATATAATTAACATCCACCTTCACCGGATATTTTTGAAATACTTTTCATTAATAGATTGGCAATTAGAACGTCATATTATAAGTTTGTAGTTAAGATATATTATTAAATAAGTTAATATATAATATTATAAATAAATAAAATTTTAAATAAAAATAGTCAATCTAATTTTAATGAAAAGTTATGATTGTAAATTTATAATAACAAGTAGTATTGTGACTATATTGATTTTTATATTATATGTATAACATTGATAGTTATTGGTACATATTTTGATTTAATATACTACATAATATATCTATTAAAAATTATTATTATTATTTTTTGCACAGCAAAG